TTGTAAAATAGAAAATACACAATGTAATAATCTTACTTTAAGATTAGCAATTTGATGTTTTGCATTGTTCGCAAGTACTGGCTATGGCCAAAGCACAATTATGTTGTGGAATATAAATATAATTAAGTAGTACTGACAAGGCAGGTAGTCGCCAGCTGATGACTAAAGAAAAATAAATTCTTAGTAAGTTAAGTATTGAGGCAGGTTGCATCTGAGCGAAAGCTAGGAGTAAGTCTCTAGTTTGATTAGATTAGCGATAGCTATAGATAGAAATATATAATTCTTGAATAGCTTAATCTCAAATAAACAAAGGCAGGATTGCCAAATTATAAAAAAAAAATAATTTAAATAACTTCTATTCAATATTTTTTGATGATTCTCTAATTAATAACAACAAAAATTAAACTATAGCAAAACAGTATAAAAAAGCAACAAAATAGATACTAAACCTGGTTTTATAGATAGAAACAACTTGTTGTTAATGAAGTCTAAGCACCTAAACATAATATATCAAAGAACAAGTATTAAAAGAATGAAAGTTTTTCTTGAAATCAAGTTTCCTATGTAATAGACTTCCAAAATATTTGACATTCAAATCACAAAGTTTATTCTAAAAAAAATCTGTAGAAGTAGCCAATATGTATTCTTAAATTAATAGAATAAAGAAGCTAAACTATACAACTATAAAACTTATAAGAAGAACTTCATATATTTTTATTGGCCCATCATTTTTTTCAAAGAAATTTTTATAAAAAGTAGACATCCTATCTTACCCTCTCTAAATAATTAATAACTACTTTACTAAAATAGTTGGCATTGTTTAATTTCCAAATTAGATGAAATATACCTAAAAAGAACTATCAACTATGTATCCTACTTAGTAGAACATAGTAAAATAAAATAATAGTGACAATAAACATGTGAATATATATGCTTCAAATGTAAGAAAATCTATATCAATAATGCTTCAAAACTTAATACTGGCCCTCTGTGATATATAAGTCAATAAAGTTTTTTCTAATAGATTTTTATTTAAATATACTAATTAGATAAAATTAGAGTAGAGACTAGTTTATTTAGTAGTATATAATTTTTACAAGCCTAATACAGGCTTATAATTGTGATATTAAGATAGACAAAATTCTTTTATATTTCTTTTTTTATTATTCTTTTTATCTCTTTTCTTTCTTGTTTATATCTTTTATTGTAATTCTTATATCTTTATATTTTTTTTAGAATCTGTTCTTTTTTCTTATTTTGTATTTTGATAAATACATAGCTGCTCACTGAAGAACCAATAGAAAAGAAGTCCTTAGTAAATTAAGAATCTGTTAGGAAGGCTAATGGCTACTGAAGCAGGTTATATCTGTCATATATATGCTTAGCAAGTCTTTGTTTTAGTTGGATTAGTAAAAATTCTAAACAAAAAGTAATATATTGCTTTTTATAGAACTTAATCCTAAATAACAAGGGCAGGATTGCTGAATTAGAAGAAAAAAATTGATCTAAATAACTTGTGGTTGTTAAGAATAATATTTTAATTCTCTTTTTATACAAATTATAGGACCACTATATATAGTTAATAGGTAAACATAACAAACTTATAAATAATACTATTAAACCTTCTCAAGTAAATCCTTATAACAAAGCATATGACAGATTTGTATACAATAATGATTATGCTTTAATTGTTTGCAACAGAATTCTTACCAATCTATAAAATGATTTTAACTATGCGCACTGGTTATAAATGCAAAAAGAAATAGTAATTAAATGAGCTTTATTTTGGATCAAATTCAGTTAAAGATGTTTGGCACCTTTATACTTAATAGGTTTTAACTGAATGAATATTTTTGGATATTTTTTTTTAAGATTAATGTATAATATACTAATATTAATTTTTTAAAAATTTTTAATTTTAATTTTTGAAATAATCTACTTGTCGTCGGCGGACAGTAACAGGTTTTATTTAAAGCTATATTTAGAGTCAAAAAGGGTCATAATATATAGTAAAATTATGCAAGAAATATTTTTTGTTAAGACACGGAAGTTGGTTTCATAAGCATAATTTTGAGTTATTTTGAGTTGAAATTTTTGAGGTTTTTGAATTGTGCAATCTGATTGGCCTGGGTCTGTCACCGCTGGCGACAAATAGATTCGTCCTATTAAATTTAATTAGCTTTTAATAATTTAATAAAAAAAAAATTACTAAAAATTTTAACAAATTTTAGCTTTTATTTAATTTTTGATAGTAATTAAAAAATTATAAAAAAAATTTCACTGATCTATATTTATAAAGTACTATATATAGTAAAAGTTTCAAATCTATAGCTTTTTAATTTAAAAAATTAAAGATAAAGATGCTTATGATTTTGACAGTAATTACAACATATTATTCATATTGATATGTAAAACTAACTATATATATAATTAGTAATATAGATTAGTTCTGGATTACCTAGTATTAATGAGCACTAAAATCACGCGACTTCGATCACTACGGGTTTTTTTATACTAATCATTCTTAGTTATTGTATAAGATAAAAAATCTATTTACTATTAATAAGCTTATACCACACAAACTGGTGAGATTGTGAACGAGATTAAGATATTCGATTCATTTTAGTGAGACGAAATAAATAGTATATATATACGTATCAAAGTTTCATAGGCAGAAATTCGTGAGTATTATAGAAATATTTATTGTATAAAGTTGTATGTATAGATGTAAGCTAAAAAAATTTATCAAGATCCGCTCGTTTAAAACTGGAAATGGCTTTTGTGGCATTGTTTAAAAAGTACTTTAAAACATAAATAAGTTACCCAGGGAATTGATTTACATCAACCAATTAGACGAATTTCTGCATATCGATCGCTATGTATCAATTCTAATCGATTAGACACAAGAGATCGTCTGTGCGTTATATTTCGCGATCAAGTTGTTAACGATTTAGTATCGTTAGACTCGTCTCAGTGAGACGTTTTTTTACCATATTTTAGCGTAATAACGCGCGGGGGTGTAATTTCGATTTTTGGCTAAAATAAGCAAAATTCGAAACAACGCTCATGGGCATTATTACGCGAAAATATGGTACGTACGTACCTGCATCTTCTATCCTATTATTCATTATACAAATACTAGCACCAGAGCACGTTCTTACGTCCGTGTTACAGCAGTTATAAGAGTAAGTTGTTATGGAAATGATATAGTACTACGTAGACTAAAAGACCCCTATATCAGATATCTGTATATAGTATTCTTTACGATTTTTGGATGCAACCATTCCTCTTTTTGTGTGACTAATCATAGGGTCATCAGTAGAGACGCTGGTGAAATTAATTTCACCAAATTTCACCAATTCAACGCCAATTTCACCAATAGTGGTGAAATCATTTCACCAGCATCATTAGTCATCAGTATTATTTGATCCAGACCGTAGTACATGAACTGACCAATCAGATTGCTTAAAGCGTACAGACGGACAGACAGAATTTAACAGTATCGATCGGTATAGATAATAGATAATATCATAGTATAGATAGATGTTAGTATACATATAAACAGATAAAGTACGTATAATTCAATTTAAGTAATTTTAATTAAGTTTGTATTAGGGTTTAGATTATGAGATTATGCCACGTTTTTAGTAACGTTTTTGAAAATCAAACAAATCCCAAATTTAACAATATTTGTTTCTCAAATCACGCGAATTCTATCATAGGGTTTCGAGTTTCTATTTTTGATCCATACTTATATATATACGTAAAATCACGTTTTAAGCAAACAGTTTCGAAAAAAGCACTAATAATGATATGGTGTACAAAATCGAAATAATGCAGAAAAAATCATTAAAGCTCGGAAACAATGTTTAAATAAGTACGTACGTACGCACTATCCAAAATATTGCTATTATTATATCGTACATACGTGCCGGCAAGAAAATTCTCAGAATTCTCAGGATTAAAAGTGTTCACAATAGAGATCCCCTTTTGTACATACATAGGTACGTACATACGTACGTACGTACATACCCGATTATACACGATTGAATATTAAAGGTTTACTTGTTCTTTCAGATGTGATAGTCAAATAAATGCGCCATAAATGCGCGTATCAGGGTTATGCAATTGTAAATATGACAATGAAAATTTATACATGTGCAATCATGATTATTTATCATGTTTGAGACTAACTATTTAAGAAATCCCTCAAGGCTAAATTGTATATATGTATGTACCGGATAGTTTATTGAACATCCACTTACATTTTCTTCTCAGACAAGAAAAAAAAATTTACTATCATTTCTTTTAGTTCCTTTTTTTTGCTTTTTTTTTTGTCTTGTAAGTCAAGACACCATTGTCAGTTTACATGTTAGTCCACTCTTTTCGGCTTGGAACCGTTACTTCAAGCCAAGTTTTAATATTATTATAAAACGACAGGCAGTAAGTCTTATTAAAACATAATATACAACTACCCTCGAGGCTTGGTCCCGTCGAAAGACCTATTTGAAGTACCTTATTAACTTTGCTCATCCATTTCGAAAAGGACAGGGTACCAGCTAATAATTATTCATACTTCAGAAAAATTACAATCTTTAACACATTGAACAAATTGGCGTGTCGGCCGTTTAACTTCCCGCGGTAGCCGATTTGAACTGTAGGTAGTACTGCGCCTTTTTTGATATATAATTATATATAATATATAATTTATTGATTAATTGAACTCAATTTTTTTTCTCTTTTTTAAGATATTGAAACAAAATCGTTACGTTGATCTAATTTTCGGGTTTATATCGGTAGGTATTAGTTGGTTTTGGCTATTAAATGTATATTTTGGTGTGCCTGCCATCTAAAGTTTATATGAATTCAAAATAATACTTGAATATATATTTTCAAGCTTGAAATCACGGCCATCAGATCTTTCTTCATCTTTTACCAATCAATACAAGATTAAATTAAAGTTTATTCTCTTAATGAACCCTAATATAATTTACGCAGCCATGGTTGCTACTCGAAAGCAGGATTATGGAGTAGGTCAACCGGTTTCAAAACATGATGATAAACTTAAAGAAAATGGTCACGATCAAGAATTTGGTGGTTCTTCTGATTCTGAGTTACCATCTACTCAAAAATTAAATATAAACGTTACTCCTTCCACTTCGAGACGGCGACGTGTCAATCGAAAATCTCAAGAGAAGAAACCTGATACGATTAATTTTCGTAAACAAAAAAACCCTTCGGTTCAAATACCTGACGATCTTCCTTCAACTATTATTCCTTCTGATATTCCTGAAACTAATGAAATCCTTCTGATGATCTACCCATTGAATTTATTAATCCAACTGAGAGGCCTCCAATAATTGATGATGATATTCCTATAAATAACTAGGCGCTTGAGTTGTTCGAAGGGAGCTAGAAATGAGCGTGTTGTATTGTATAGTATTGGTATATTATGCATGT